AACGATGACATGCATCAACCAAGTCAGCGAGCCTGACCACCTGATCCCGTTAGTCGCCTCTTACGACAAGCATAGTCGCCTTTTACGGCACGCACGGGTTGCTGAAGACCTATTCTACCCCGGATCTTCACGGGTGGTGCCATCACTTGTGGGAGGGGGGATGGAAAGCAGTCGAAACTTAAGTAAGGGCTGACTTAATTCATTGCATATATTATCATATTTCTGTGTATTCCAAACACCCTCGGCTACACAATTTCTCAGTGGAATTTCCTCCTACAAATTCATATTTCCCACTTCCTCCGTCAAATTCTTATTTTCACTCCTTTTTACGGTAGAGTTTGTTCTGATCCTCTTCAGATATACATTTATTAGTTATATTTGTTTTGTTTTTTTCAGTAATTACTTGTTTTGCATTTGGAGTAAGTGACACATAGAAGTGACAAAAAGCAACAAAGGAACTTGATATGAATCCTTACCTTAATATGTTCGAGTTTTGTCCCACACGTCGACAAAACCCTTTCCAAGATCACAAGAAATCTCTGCAAATAATCACCAGAGTCCAGTGTATGATTCCAACAAGATCATAAACATGTGTCCATGAATCACTATCCGATATTACACTATCCGAAACTCCGAAACGACTGCAGCTTTTTATCCCAGTTTTTTTTTCTGTGAAAGGGTCTTGTACCGATGTAGAAAACAGCACACGAATAACCGTACAAAAAGTGGAGTGGCAATAATATACGTTCACAGAGATCTGGAAGTTCCAAGGAGAATGAACGAAGAGCCACATCTTCTTTAATTTAATTAGCTCAGTCATCAAGTGTTATCAAAGTCGCATCAAAAGAGAAAAGGTATAACATTTTGTAATACATTGGAGTTGTGTTGCTACTCACTCACTCACTCACTCACTCACCAATGCACCCACCCACCCATCCACCCACCCACTCACTCACTCACTCACTCACTCACTTACCCACCCACCCACCCACTCACTCACTCACTCACTCAAGGTCTGAAAGAAGGATACTTACGGTGCTTGAAATATCGGCAATCGGGAATGTAAGATCGTGACAAAATAAGAAAAGTCACCCCAGCCTGTTTAAATAACTCCTAAACAACAAAAGGAAGCAATCCGCAAAAGTATTGAGTGGGACATTTAGAAGTTAGAAGAATGTAAAGACATTTTTTTGGCTACAAAAGTTCTTTATTCTTTGTCACGGCTGTTCACAAATACTTTTTTTTATCATTTCATCAGGACGGTTTTGAAGCGGAAAATCAATCAAAAAGTTGTTTCCATAAAAGGTCTAATGTCAGCAAACACGGATTTGACAAGGTTTTGTAAACAGTGATTTCAGGTCCTGAAGCGAGTATCGATTCCCCAGAAGCCACGAAACTGTACAAACGGGGAATCTTACCCTTTCTTTGGTCTAAAACTCATTTGTCATATATTTCACATCCCATAAAACCACGACAAGAAATCCTGACACAGTGGTAGTCAATATTGTCAATAATAAAGCATGTTGTTGGCGTGAACAAGCAATGCAACAGTGAGAGGATCAATGTTTCTCTGTGGTTATGAAGATTGCCATTTAATGTCTCCGTGCTACAAGGTACATCTTGATCTTATAGATAATATTGCAAAAATGGTAACAAAACATAACACAATGATCTTATTGATATAATCAGTATTGCTTAATGTTATGGTTATCTAAGACTCAATTAGCGCAATAGACCCGTGAAGATCCGGGGTAGAATAGGTCTTCAGCAACCCATGCTTGCCGTAAAATGCGACTACGCTTGTCGTAAGAGGCGACTAACGGGATCAGGTGGACAGGCTCGCTGACTTGGTTGATGCATGTAATCGATCCCAATTGCGTGGATCGATGCTCATGATATCAATCACTGGATTATCTGGTCAAGACTCGATTATTTACAGACCGCCGTCATGTAGCTGGAATATTGCTGAGTGCGGCGTAAACAACATAACAACCAACCTGTATCCTTTTCCCTCATGGTGCCTGGACGTCAGTCAGTCTGCATGGCGCTCAGTGCCGTACTGTGCTGACGTCGCGCTTACAAAAACGTATACATTGTATCAAAAAAGTGTCACAACGTTCTTATTCCTTGACACATCGTTACAAAATTCTACGAAATAATGGATCTTTATTCTTCCCCGCCCTTAAGGCGGGGAAGTATACGGGAAACGTTAAATTTGTGGCATGTATGTCGACATGTTGGTTTATTTGAAATTTCAAGCCACGCATTTACGGAAACAAAACATACAAATCATGTGCGTCGAATGTTGATGCTATTCTTTTCCAGCAATAAGAGATACTTCAAAATCGTCTTTATGTAGTTAATTGATGCATCTGACCGTTTCTGGTCATTAGCTGACATTATTAAACCATTCATGTGTAATCCGATGTCCTTTTTTCCTCAAGGACTAATTTTCTGATTTTCACGGTGTATACAAAAGAAGAACTGTGTTCCGGAGATCGTAAATAACAGCATAATAAAAATTATGTTCTCAATATGCTTATTCATGAACAACGACGACATCTCAATTTAAATGTAATATGGCTGAATTCCATATTCTACATACCACACTTTTGATTGTTTGGATGCTCATGTTCACTGGAAATATTTGGAATAGTTATATTCCGTATTTTGAATTAACCCAGTCCCACGTGTGTGTTTTTTAATCAGTGCACCGCACATAACCACATGTGAAACGTTTGGTAGCAAAGTCAAAGCAAAATCGGAGTAGTGTGTCAGCGAATTTGCATCAAGGCTGTAGTATTTTTCAACCGTTTAATGGAATTCAATGTACAGCCGTAGCTCTGGTCATTCATATATTTTGTGTCCCATAGCTCAAATCCATTTGCGTCTGTACCGTGTTCCACTGACCTCGATAATCTGTTGGATGAAGGCACAGCTCTCTGCAGCCACAAAGTTAACACCGAAGGCTATGATGAGTATTTAGGTCATAATCAGTCCCCAGCAGCCACTGCCTCAAGCGATATTGTCTACATAACAGATCAGTTTTATGGCTCCGTCACAGGTGCTCCAAATATTGAAGCAGGGAAAACAAATTTCATAGAATCATTTCAAAAAGCAATATTGATATCCCCGTCACTTTTGGTAACTTTTAATGATGTCTCCATTGCAATTTTTACGGATTTCGATTCGTATGCATTATTTGACTGTCATCAGCGGAATGGTCTTGGTCAGATTGATCCGAATGGACAAGCGGTTTTACTTCTGTTTAGTAGTATGGATGAATTGTCATATTACATCTTAACAGTATATATATATATATAGGCTACTATGCTTGTCGTAAGAGGCGTCGATCCCAATTGCGTGGATCGATGCTCATGATATTAGGCACTAGATTGTCTGGTCCAGACTCGATTATTTACAGACCGCCGTCATATAGCTGGGATATTGCTGAGTGCGGCGTTAAACGACAAACCAATCAATCATCATCATATGAACTCAAACCAGTCATTGTTACAAGTAAACCACATTCCACAACAGTTACTGACACTGGATAAAAAACAGTATATAGAAAAAAAACAAGTAACTCAACTCATCATGATCACAATTACTATTCTTTGAAAGAAAGAAATACACACAAAAACTGACCAAAAAACGTTAAACAAGAGACGAGGAATCTCCGTTATTGATTAGTCCCGGTATTGAAATGTTCTCCAACTACGTGATAATATGTTGAGTATGTGCATCTGTGGTTGTGACAAAAAGACCTTATCTAGTATGACTTTTTTTGCCATATGGAGCCCTTAGTATTTTCATTTACATTATTATAACCAAATGCTAAGTGTAAAAAGAATGTGATCTATTTTTGGAGTAAGTGCATCTGCCAATGTTGTTGGCAGTTTTGATACTATTTCCACATGTTTACATTTATGCCAGAAATTGCTTCCATTTCCTTCGATCTACTTTTTAAATAAAGACCCAGGTAAGAATAGGTCTTCAGCAACCTATGCTTGCCGTAAGAGGCGACGAACAGGATTGGGTAGTCAGGCTCGCCGATTTGGTCGATGCATAACATCATATTCCAATTGCGTAGTTCGATGCTCTTGGTGTCAATCACTGGATGATCTGGTCCAGACTGGATTATTTACAGACCTCCGTCATATGGCTGGAATAATGCTGAGTGCGGCGTTAAACAAGAAACTATTTTTAAATAGACCTACCCTATGCAAATGTATCAACTGTATTGCCAAATACTCAAAATAAATAATATTTTTTTCCACAACAGCGTTGTGTTATTTGTGGTTAATATAATTATGCTCCATCATGCCTTTCAGTAACATCATAATTATGCGTTTGTGAGGCATCACATATGGCGGGGAACTTTGATGCTCTGCATCAATGTTTTCTTGTATTGTCTTTCGGAAAGTTTAAAAGTTGTTGCAAAATGAGTTTCTTTTTTTTTTAATGCCAGTGTAAGTGTAAGTTCATTTTCGTGTTTTTCCTACCTGTATAAATTTGTGAACAAAGTTCATGTCAATTGTCAAGTTTAGTCTTGTTCATTGTGTTTTCATTTTCATTGGCAGTTATCGATGTCATCATCGTTCTCAAAGGCAAACCTGTCTGTATTATGTCCGATTTTTGGATTCGGGTGGTCGCAAAATTCATCAAACAGCAAGTCCTTTAACACAGACGCTAACCCGGACTTGGTGGTAATGATCTTGCCACATTCTTGGTGCACTAGAAACAGTTTCTGGCAACATCGCAATATGAATCTTGGAACATCAATCTGGCCATATGCAGTTTTGACAACGAAGACATTAAATGTGTTCAGAGGTTGAATTATACGAATAACCCATGTCAGTCAGACCTCCGTCCGCTTTAACGAGGTCATTTACTTTGACAGGTGTCAAATGGCCAGCCATGTTTGTTTACAAACGCAGACGTAGTTTTGGTTTTTACTGTAAAATGAAGATCATGTAAAATAAACTATATTTATTGTCTTTAAAATACACGAATCAGTGAGATTGAAGCACGTAAAACATCTGAATGAAAAGCGTGGATTTGTGAATGAATAGGATGGAAAAAAATAGTCCCGTAGTCCAATGAAAATTGATGTTTGTTCAACTGACCAATCAGCTTCGAGAATCACTAGTATCAAAAAGATATAACACTGCATATTGAAGCCCATAAGGGTAATAAAACTCAAATTGGTCTCAATCAACAAGAAATGTTGATGCATACATGCGCGTCACATATTGGATGACGAAGCATTTGTCTATCTTAAAAGGTTCAATATACACAATGCATTGTATGACAATGGACAGCTTAAACATCAGATCATACATATGTGCACTAAGAGTTATCATTCACCAAATGAAACAATATCGACAAAATTAAATTAACGTCACAAATAAGAACGTTCTTTCAACGTGATGTACATTGTAACAAATGTTAAATTTGTGATAACACTTTCTTATTAAAGTACAAATTCTAGTACTTTGGGGGGGTTCAGGCCCACCCGGGACCCAGAGTGAGGCACCTAAAAACCACCACAGTCGGCGATCTAACCCACCGTGGCTTCCAGTGGCTGAGGGGGCGGTCGGGTAGCCTAGTGGTTAGCGTTCGAAGACCCGGGTTCGATTCCCGACAATGGTGAAACGTCGGCTGTGATTTACCCTGGCTGGAGGAACCACCCACCGACTTATTAGGTAAACAATTATTTTGTGAGTTGGAAGGTAGGGCGCGACGCATATTTAACCAATGTTCCTGCAATTTAACGGTTTAGAACAACAAAGACATTACATCAGTACCCATTTCGGGACTCGAACCCGGAATATTGGTCAATGAGACCGTTAATGAGCGAATACCCTAACCATGCTGCAACCAAAATGTTTATTAGCTTAAACGAGAAGCACATGAACTTATTTATATCATATACTATGCATTCTTTTGTGTAGGTGAATTCAAAACAATGAAACAGTTCCAACCGAACTAGAATACCATCTAGATTCTTCGTGGGCATTCATTTTCAAATTCAGCCTGTATATTAACAAATGTCTAATCGTTTAAAAACATGTATTTCACTGACCTGGGCTAGTGACTGGAAAATTACACTAATCGTAGCCGTGAGTACGACATAAGTAAGGAAAATGAAAACAATATATTGCAAACAGTAGACAGATTGAACTGTGTACACATTTTAGGGAATGCAAAATAGTAGAGCACCTTCATATGTAATCCCTGATATTTTGTAAAAAACGTTTTATGCCAGATGCTCAAAGCATATTCATTTCAACGGTGGAGTTTAACTCCACAGCTTCTGAAACAGTGTGGTTGGATAGAGAAGATTTTGTCAACGAAGGCATAAAAGGCAGCTTTGCAATGAGTGGCAGCCTGTGGTAGATACGCGGCAGGAGGCACCATTCATAGGCATCTTGGGCGGAAATACTGTTGTAGTTATCTCCCTTCCCGTGATTGACACGTGACACATTTTGGTTCTTCCGCCAAGTGACAAGACCCCTATCTTCCGGTGTTCCTGAAAATAGAAAGAACCGTGTTGAAGTGTTTTGTTTGCTTCACGCCGTAGTCCGGGTTTACCACGGCTGCCTATAAATTGTGGCCAGGCAGACCAGTGGTTGAAAAAATGAGCATCGGGACACGCAATCAGTCAAGTCACTGTCCGACCCCATTCAACCCCATCTTACTCAATGGTAAGCTGGCCACCTACTTTAACCGAGTACCGATGACACCTGATCCACTGACAATGAATAGTTAATGTCATGTCCAGACAATTAGTGCCACGGTACAGTAGCTCACCTGGGTATGTAGTTTAGAGTGTCAGCAAAGACTTGTCAAACGGTCCTGCCAGCATTGAGTTTCCAATATTTTAGAATAAATACTCTGGACTAACACCTTTGTAAGAGGAGAAGCTAAGAGAGCCCAAAGTGCATTTTTGAGAATTTCGAGGTTTAGAAACTCTGAAGGTCAACTGAAGGTCAAAATGTGAAATGTCGTGAGATCGGAACGTATCTGTTGCTCCCCACTACAAAGAGCACTTTGAAAGAAACAGGTTGAGAAGAGGCCGTAAGAAGTTACAGCCTTCATATTGGTCAAAGGTCAAATCAAGGTCAAATTGTAAAACATCGCAAAAGCGGGACATATGTGGAACCTATAACTAACCACACATATACCACATTCCATTGAATTTTGAAAAGATGTGACTGGGTTTACAATGTGTGAAGCCCATTTCTGGTGTCTCCGCCGTGATATTGCTGGAATATTACTAAAAGCCATGTAAAACCATACTCACTCACTCACTTTTCAAAATGGCCAACGTGAATTTCAGTCATATAGCTTTCAGTCATATAGTGTCAGCATATTAGCTTTCAAAGCTAAAACTTTCATTGGGTAAGGTCACGAGTTATCTCCAATTCAAGTGTTATTAATACTATCAGCCTTTGTGCCCATTCAATTACTATTTAATTCTCCTCTAAAACCTCCTCCTGATAACCGTACAGTCGTGGGCCTGGTCTGACTCGGAATCACTGCGGGATTTACAGTCAAAAATAAAACTTAACAGATAATCCCCACCAAATTCATACTTTTCAGCAATTTTTGGACATCCTCTGTGGTCTCGTGGTAGAGCGTTCGTCCGCGTCACACCAAATGACGTTAAAAGATGGTACTGGCTGTTAACCAGACCCGTGAAGATTCCGGGGTACAATAGGTCTTCAGCAACCCATACTTGCCGTAAAAAGCGACTATGCTTGTCGTAAAAGGCGACTAACGGGATCGGGTGGTCAGGCTCGCTGACTTGGTTAATACATGTCATCGATCCCAATTGCGTGGATCGATGCTCATGATGTCAATCACTTGATTGTCTGGTCCAGATTCGATTATTTTACAGACCGCCGACATATAGCTGGAATATTGCTGAGTGCGGCGTTAAACAACAAACAGAATAAATGTTGTTAACCTGGCTGGGACTCGGCATTAAGGGTCTAAAACAAGGACTTGTCAGCTCGGAGTCGGTATAGTGTGTCTGAGCGGGGTATTCATGCCAAACTGCGGCATTGTATCTCAGTGAGCTAGCACTATAAATCGACATCAGGCCGGACAAGTACAAGCACATGCAATAATCTTGGACGCGACGTCAAACCCGATTTCACCTCCCCTCCCCCCCCCCCCCCCTTTTTTCTCCGTCCGATCAATTTTGACAACGCCAGCCATAAGATGTACTTAATGCATGTAGGTTAAACAAAACAACCTCCATACCTTTAACTGTGGTGTCGAGGACGATGGACAAAAGTCCACCAACAAACATGGGTGTTCCCAAAGCTACTTTCAGCACCCCGTCAACTTCAGCAACACCTACAATAAGCGAGAGATGGACACTAATGTTAGCACGAACATAACGTCAACACAATTTCCTCTCCCCCCTTAGGAAGTGTAATACAGTATAGTTTTGCCCTGAACTAAATTAGTTAAAGATCATGAAATAGTTCCGGGCATAGCTATACTTTATTACACTACACATGGGGGTTGAGTTTAAGACCGACCTTGTGATTTATTAGAGATGGAATTCAAATCTAATTTCTAATAAACTGTTCCGCAAAATGAAAATCCTTGAACAGGGAGGTTCAATTAAGAGACAACGCACGGTTTTAATAAAAAAACATCAACACTTAAAATATAACTTATATATATATATATATATTGGTTAGGGAAGTCCCATTATATAATTATATTATCCGGTCAGTGTGTGATTGTCCATAATCCAATAAGTAGGACTTAAATTTAAGTATTTATATCAACTTGCTTCGGTTTAATCACATTACTCGAAAGTGGGTTCGAATTCCGGTTCGCCCCCATTATGTGTCTAGGTTTGTCAGCACCATATCCGTGCTCGTGGGTTTCATCGAAGTGGTAAACGTCTGAGACCTGCATCACGTCGGGCTTTCATCCCACATTAAGCTGACACGCCGCGATATAACCGAAATACTGTTAAAAGCGGCGTTAAACCCAACTCACTCACTCACTCATTACTCGAAACGTTCCGCAAAAGCAAAGTGTGGCCGGGCTAACACTTGGAAACATAGCCCATGTGCTGTGTCGCTGGCAAATAATTGTTAGTTGAGTTTTTTTGTACCCTGCAAGATGCACCTTTGTTTCATCACTAACTTGTAAGCAGGCAGGAACTGCAAGACATGAAATGCTACACTTAACGTGTTGGATGCTCTAAAAGGTACCGTAACCGATGTGAATCGACGGCCTTGGGTGTGAAATGAGTGAGTGAGTGAGTTGTGTTTAACGCCGCTTTTAACAGTATTCCAGTTATATTACGGCGTGTCAGCTTAATGTGGGAGGAAAGCCCAAAGTGATGCAGGTCTCAGACGTTTACCACTTCGGTGAAACCCACGAGCACGGGTATGGTGCTGACAAACCTAGAAACATAATTGGGGCGTATCGGGATTCGAACCCAAAATCATAGGTTTCTGGCATGCCCAAGGGACGCAACTCTCCACAGCGAATCGCGGCGCCTTAGACGACTGGGCCACCCGTGCCCCCGGGTGTGAAATGAAATGGGTGGGATGAACACGGCGGGGGAAGAGCAACAGCGGTTGTTGTGCTTGATGGAAGTATGTTGCTAAATGCCCTACGATGAGTAGCGGGTGTTTGTGCCGTCAAGAAACTGTTCACAGATTACTCGTCCTTGTATCCAGAGACACATTATTCCAAGGGCACCAACGTTTTGAAAAAGCTGTGTGGTTCACCTGTGGAGGGCATATCCAAATCTGTGACCAAAATGATGTCCGATGCAACTCCATATTTTGTGATTGCAGGTGAACAATTGACGTGTACTTGCATGTGTTTATGACGCTGCATCGGTACACCTGGTGCCATGAACACATGCTTATGATAAAATCGGAATCTGGTTTCATAAAAGATTTCATATGTTAGTGGATATGGTTTTGTCTCTTTTGTAATACTCGCTGACTTGGTTGATGCATGTCACCGTTCCCAATTGCGTGGATCGATGCTCATGATGTCAATCACTGGATTGTCTGGTCCAGACTCGATTATTTACAGACCGCCGTCATATAGCTGGAATATTGCTGAGTGCAGCGTTAAACAAACCAACCAACCAACCAACTTTTGTAATATTGTAGCATTTGATCAGGACAGAGGTCAAACTGTTTGAGAAATATGTTTTCATTTGACATTTCCATTTGACTAGCAATGGCCCATGTTATTACTCTTCCTTTAACGAAGGCATGACGTATAAAGTTATAGCACTGCTTCCAAAATAATCCTGTAAATTCCAACTTATAAATACTGAAGGAAGCAGATTTACAGGGTTTGGGGGGGTCAGTATTAGTGAGTGTCGTATTTCTACAATTGCGGGTTCAATAGAACTCACACATTCAGAAACGACTTGTTTTTCGTAATTTATACATGGTGTTGCCTGAAATATGCTGTTTGCAAATGGTGGTTAATACGGACGAATCAATATGCCTAGTTTGCCAAAACAGTTGGGTTTACCGATGTCATGTCTGTTTATAGTTGTCTTTCGCCGAAATCATTATTGCATAAATGGATGAGTTTCAACTCCAAGACATATTAGGCATCAGAAAACAAGAATTGTATGTGTACCTGTATCAATGAAGTCACTATGTCTGTCCACCCACTCAGGGAGGAATATTCCAAAAAATAACGACACTCCAAGTATTGTCATATTTCTGGACGAGTTCAAGTTGACATGGCTGAGGGTGGACAGGCCAATGGCCACGAGCATTCCGCTTAGGACGACAATAGTACCAGCTAGTGTCGGATCCGGAACGGTTGCTATGGCAGCACCAAATTTACCGAAAACCGCCATCAATACAAGGCTAAAGCCACAGCACAGCATTACGGATCGACTCGCGGTCTGGAAAATAGGAAAGGATCAAATTAGTAGATTTATTTTGGTAACGACATCCATATTATTTCTGTTTTTGTTATCTCAATAAGTGAGTGAGAGTGAGCATGTTTTTTCACCGCTATTAGCACCATTCCGGCAATATCATGGCGGGGAACATTGTACCCATGTAGGAAATGGAACCCGGTTCTTCGGCGCGACGGGCGAACGCTTTAACCACTAGGCTACATCCCCGACCCCCTCATCTCAATGTTCAGCTTCAGAGAGGTCCAGTTGTCGAAAGAAACAAAATGAAACTAAACCACAAAAGATCTATGGTTAAAAAGAGAACCAACAGCTTGATTGTTCTTTATTCTTCAAAACGATTTCGACAAGTAATTAATCAGCTCCTAAATTGAATCAACTACCAAATCGGAAAATAACAAATGTTCACTGCCCACTAGAAGGCTGGGGACATCTTGTTGCTATATGTGTAGAATTTAACCCCAAAAAAACATTCTATTTGTTCATATCCTATTTAAACATCTGACAATTCATGTTTGGTCTTCCTTTGTAACAATTGATGACAATCATGAAGTCAAATCAACTGTTTAATATATGGCAAGGACTGGGCAAATGTAAATGGTCAAACGCATGCACAAAATTTCTCTCTTGGAGTAAATTGCTCACGAAAATGTGAAAGCAAAACATTATATTTTACAGTTAGACATCATGATAGAAAGGTTGGGTTTTTTTGTTTTGTTTTTTTTTGTTTTTTATTGTTCCTGGTAAGAGTACATCGTGTTTCGATAGGAGTCAAAATACATGACCAGGGTTTTTTAAGAAAGTACATATCATTCACACACATCCATACACACATTCACACTCACTAGAAGCTTTAGAAGACAGAATGCAGGATATATATTTAGTAAAGTTTTCGAATAGCAAATGTTTATATTTTCAAAAGGTTTTCATAAGGAGCCCATTTCGTATAGAATTCTGTCTGTTTGGCTTTATTAAAGTGTCTATATTTTTCTATTTGGTAATAACATTTAACCTCATTTTGGAAATGTGTAATGGTTGGTTGGTTATTTTTCATTTTGCATCTATAAAGGTGAAATTTGGCCAATAAGAGTATCAGATCAAAAATATTATCGGTGTGGAAATGTTTTGAAAAGCCAAAAAGAATTAGATCTGAAGTAAGATTTATCTTGCCAGTATGTGGACACTTGGATTCAATCCATTGTGAAAATCTTTTCCAGAAGTTTTTGCTTACCCTACAGTCCCAAAACAGATGCTGGATAGATTCTGGCTCGGCATTACAGAGAGAACATAGAAAGTTGTCAACAATATGCATCTTGAGTAGATAAGTATTAACAGGTAGAATTCTAGGGAGCAAATTTTGCCTAGGATCATGAAACAGTCCATAACAAAAATGATCACGTTCACGCTTCGCCTCTGGATTCTGAAACACCAGGTGTTTGTGGGTCAAGCGAGTTATGTCAGCCAAAACCGTTTGTAACTCAAAATAGGATCATGAAACAGTCCATAACATAAACGTTCACGTGTTAAACGATAGCATACAAATTCATGTATTCATGTATTAAGTCAAAACGATTATTGTGTAAATAAATGTTAGCACCACCTCCGATCTTGGTGCAAATTTATTTTTGTCACAAAACCGCTACACGGACATTTTAAGTAATTGACTCAATTAAGTTACTGGTACTGCATTGGATGTGCATAAGATAACTTACTTATTTCCCCAACCTTTTCAACAGATCACTAACGATTGCACCTGTGAAGATCCGGGGTAGAAAAGGTCTTCATGCTAACCGTCAAAGGCGAATATGCTTGTCGTAAAAGGCGGCTAACGGGATCGGGTGGTCAGGCTCGCTGACTTTGTTGATGCATGTCATCGTATCCCAACTGCGTAGATCGATGCTCATGGTGTCAGCCATTGGATTGTCTGGTCCAGACTCGATTATTTACAGACCGCCGTCATATAGCTGTAATATTGCTGAGTGAGGCGTTAAACAAACAAATAGATCACTAACCTTTGACACAGATATCGCTGCGATATTTCCACTGTATGACGTTGTAGCATGTCCCGTGCCAATCGCTCCGCCAAGTAGTCCGCAAAGACCTTCCACCAATATGCCTCTGTTGACAGCGTGATCAGGCGGTGGGTCGATTTGACATGCTTTCGCGGTGGCAAAATAGTCCCCCACAGATTCAATCATGGACGCGCAAAAGGCAGACAGGAATCCAACAAAAACTGCTGGACTAAATAATGGTAGTCCAAACTGTCCTGCAATAGAACACAGAAGTTGAAGGGTTAAAGATGTTGACGACGATTTATAAGAAGGAGGCACCAGGCAGTGTGGGTTCGAATCCTCGATGGGTCTCAACCCCAAAAAGTACGAGAATCCGTACTTACAAAGAAAGTGTTATCCTAAATATAACACGTGTTACATTTGTTCACTCTCTCAATGGCATTGTGTGTTCACAGCTTTCCGCCATGGGAGCCGTGCCCATTTACACTTGTCAGAGGGGTACACAAAGTACGTGATCTAGACTAGTTGTCGGACTTTCATTTTCTGTAGAAGCCTCGGTGGCTGTGTGGGTTAGATAGCTGACTTTGTGTGCTGGCGATTAGGTGCCCCACTCTGGTAGTGTGGGTTCGAATCCCGGATTGGATCATCCCCCAAAAGTACTAGAATCAGTACTTCACTGAGGAAGTGTTATCCCAAACATAACATTTGTTGTAATTTAATGGTAACGTCGCAACAAATGCCTGAAAATGTGCCGGTTTCTTATCTTTACGATGCAAACTGTATGGGAATTGTAAATATAAATTGTGTACATATGCCATTCTTAGGTAGTTTTCTTCCATTTAATATAAGTCGCGTAGATATAGCTGGTATAGTGTGTAACCTGTATTAAAATGCAACAACAAAACTTATTTTCTATTAATTCTGTTATACAATGTTTGGTAGACAAGGCTTCACCTGGATACAGGGGGCACGGGTGGCCCAGTCGTCTAAGGCGCCGCGGTTCGCTGTGCAGAAATGCGCCCCTTGGACACGCCAGAAACCTATGATTGTGGGTTCGAATCCCGATTCGCCCCGATTATGTTTCTAGGTTTGTCAGCACCATACCCGTGCTCGTGGGTTTCGCCGATGTGGGTTTCGACGTCTGAGACCTGCGTCACTTCGGGCTTTCCTCCCACATTAGGTGAGGTGAAATGGGGTTTAACGTCGCGTCCAAGATTATTGCACTTATATAGCGACGTGTATGCACGTGTGTGTGTGTGTGGCTGCTTGTACTAGTCCGGACTGATGCCGATTTATAGTGCTAGCTCACTCAGATACCATGCCGCAGTTTAATATGAATACCCCACTCAGACACAGTATACTGACTCCGAGCCGACCAGTCCTTGTTTTAGCCCCTTAAAGCCGAGCGCCAGACAGGGTAACAACAAGTACCATCTTTTAACGTCTTTTGGTATGACGCGGCCGGGGATCGAACCCCAGACCTTCCGCTCTCCGGGCGGACGCTCTACCACTAGACCACGGAGGCGGTCTCCTCCCACATTAAGCTGACATGTCGCGATATAACTGTAATACTGTTAAAAGCGGCGTTAAACCCAACTCACTCACTCACTCACTCACCTGGATACGGGAAGTAGAACCAGGGCGTGCGCTCTATTAGCGACATCTTCACGTCAGTCCTTGCCTTGTAGCGGATGTTTTCGGGGTCGTTGGGGAAGACGTCGGTGATGGTGAGGATGGCGGAGATAGCCCACATCACCAGGATGCTCAACAGAACCTGCAAAGTGTCACACTTTTTATTCAGTCAGGAAGGTAATATGTGTTTTTATATGATGAGAAGTTCTTTCAGAGACGACTATCAGTGGAATCCCATGTATTAAGATGATTATAGTTTCTGGCACTTCTTAACGTGCCGCAATTATCTGTGCAGAGTTGTGTCCCTTTGTGTACGCAGAAACCTATGGCAGTGGGTTCGAATCCCGGTTCGCCACGATAATGTTCCTAGGTTTGTCAGCACCGTATCCGTGCTCATAATCAAAATGGTAAACGCCTGACACCTGCATCGCTTCGTGTTTTCCTCCCACGCTGTGAAATACTGCCAAAAAAAGGTTAAATCCAACTCACTCACTCACTATTAAAACGTTTTACTGATGACCCTTTCACTTTTTAATTATTACGTACAATAAGTAAGTAAGTGTTGTGCGGAATAGCCTATAATATGTTTTTTTATACATCGATGGCTTTGACGACTTCTTTTACCCCGAGTATTTGCGCTGCATTTTTTTAACATCTCTTCTGAACGTCTAGGTTCAATCTCTTGCAGAGTCTTTGGGGATGATAAGATTGAATTGAAAGTACACCCATTGTCAACTTGTTTACATATTATGGCGGAATATAAATGTGGAAAATATCAAGTATATTGTTAAAGACGCACTTAATTCCGTGGTTTCATTAAGAAATTTCTATACAAAGATAAGAAGGGGACATTTCTTCTATTTACATTTTCGCGAACACCTGGTCTAATCACTGACTTTCAATTCAAGTATTTTTGTTTCGCTACTTGAGTGGGCCATCCGCCCTTGGAACAAAATCAGGTCCACCACACAATATTTGGTGTAAAATGGTTACTGGAAGAATTACATACGACAACAACAAATAGTTTCAATTGAAGATTTTTGAATTGTTAACAAAAGAAGCAATTGCTGACGTTTGTTTTTGTTTTTGTTTTGGATTTTTTGGTTTTGTTTGTGTGTTAAACGCCGCGGTCAACAATATTTCAGCTATAAGACGGCGGTCTGTAAATAATCGAGTCTGGACCAGACAATCCAGTGATTGATGTCATGAGCATCGATCTACGCAATTGAGATAAAATGACATGCCTCAAGTTCGCGAGCCTGACCATCCGTTCCCGTTAGTAGCCTCTTACGACAAGCAAAGTCGCCTTTGGCAGCAAGCATTGGTTACTGAAGACCTATTCTACCCCGGATCTTCACGGGCCAATTGCTGGCGTAGCTTCATTGCATTGAATATGAAACATGCTAAATTTCTGAATTTGTTTAGAAGATATAAGAATATTGTATATAACTTGAGTCGGATACGTAGAATGTTTTCTTGGGATATATCGCCGACGAAGATCGTCATATGCCTCACATTTGAACAGAAAGTGATATTAATTCTCGATATAACACATTCTACAGTCTATTATCCCCAGTGATATGTAAATATTATACGAATACGGCCATGTGCAGACAAATGCACGTGCAAATCATGCTGATTGAACGAGATGCACGAGATTAAACATATTATTCTTGAATGTGACGTTTATTTTAGTTTTACAATTAATGATAAACATAAACATACCGGGAAGAGTTGAAATAACGGTAGATAGCTTCGTTTCGTCTTTCCCCTTCTCGGCAGTGGAATTTTGACATGTGGAATGTACAAGATGAAGATGAGAAGTAATGCTATCCCACTGAAACAAGAAACATTAGTTAGATATGACAGATGTTTGTTTGTTTGTTCTTTAACACCGCACTCAGCAATATTCCAGCTATATGACGGCGGTCTGTAAATAATCGAGTCTGGACCAGGCAGTTCAGTGATTGACATCATCAGCAACGATATACGTAAATTGGATACGATGACATGCATCAACCAAGTCTTCGAGCCTGACCACCCGATCCCGTTACAAATTACGGCAAGCATGGGTGGCTGAAGACCTATTCTACCCCGGATCTTCAGTGAGTGAGTGAGTGAGTGAGTGAAGAAAGAGTTGCAGAATTGCAGGTGTGATTGAGTATTTGATACTCGAAAAAATCATTTTGAACCCGAATATTTTCCAAAAACATTACTTATATGGTAAGTATAGTTTTACGCCGCTTTTAGCGATATCCCAGCAATATCACGGCGGGGGACACCAGCAATTGGCTTCATACATTGTACCCATGTCGGGAAGCACAGGTTGCTGAAGGTTAATTCTAACAACATGATTGATGCGTATCTGTATAATTTCCTCCATGCCATAACGGACAAAACATTGATGAACGTAACAGGAACGCACATTAAAAATACTTTTGTTCCCTAATTGCAGTAGAAACCAAAGTCATTACTCCGCACAGCAGACAATGTACAAACGTGTGAAAAGTGGCATTGCAATCACGATAAGATTGTAGTGAAATCCAGTTATATGTTTCCGGATTTTTAATCCCAACAGTTCAAAAATAAGAGACTTAATATGTCTCAAGACACGCAAAAATACCAAACCGGAACTTTGGTAACTCAAACGTCAAATCATCGACCGACAGTTTTTGCCACAGATTTTTTTATAAATCTGCCATGAAATAATATAATAAATGTTTTCTCTTCATTAAAATCTATGATATACACCGCATTAACTCGAGATATCCTTTCATTGTATTTTCATAGTCCCTTAAGGATTTCTATCGATACGATTGTCGAAAATCGACTCTTTTGTCTTGTTCTTTTTTAATTGATGTGCTTCTTTAACTGGCTGTCACAAAGACATTAAGTATTACTGTAGAACTGTATTTCAAAATGATATTTTAAAGATATTTTAACGTTATGTGCAATTTTCATACAAACCCGAAAGAAATTTCCCAAGAAGGCCTGGATTGCGCTATTGGGATCTTGTAGAGGGAGATCCCAATGAGGGCGATGGTTGGAGCGATTGTGAGCGGCCCGATGTAACGGAGAAGCACCCCAACTAAACCAGTAGAGCCTATCACAATCTCCAGTATTGAAGCAGTCATCAAACTCCCCGATAACTGAAAAATATGACAATCTCATTAAAATAAGATATTTACTTCCGACTCCGATAAGTTTATAAAAGGTTTCGGCTTGGCTGGTACGGACTAACGATACCTCTCTTCGTCAACATCTGGCGTTAGATGAACCATGAACGAACTTTGATCTACTGATCAAAAAGAAGGATGCTTGGGGTTTTTAACCAGTAAGAGTTTTCACCAGGCTTTATAAAACCCTTCGTCTTCATTTTCAGACTGACGGCATTGAACGCCGCTTTAAGAGCAGTTGAAGAAATGTTTGGAAAAGAACAGGGTGTAACAATATCATTTTTCCTTTCCGAACTCACCGTTTACGTTCGGTTCCGTGATACAGAAGTCAGATAGTGCTGTTCCGAATGCTTCGCTCGTTTGTACAGAGAATTATAAGCCGCTATGTAGATTGGTCGAGTAGAATGTTCACCTGATGTGACGAACTTAAAAGGGTTTCTGATATCTTCACAGAGAGTGGTATCGAATCCCAATGCTGATTTTAATAGAACGTATCCCAATTTAGTTAGTTAGTTCGTGGAACAAATTTGGGGTACTTGTTCTGCCATGTTCTGTCACGGAATGCTTACAGGGCACAATATTGGACTCGCAAATGTACACACGTGCAATGTAGGTGTACATGTTTCCAATTGCGTGGATCGATGATCATGATATCGACCACTGGATTGTCTGGTCCAGACTTGATTATTTACAGACTGAAGTCATATAGCTGGAATATTGCTGAGCGCGCCGTTAAATAACAAACAAAACATGGTTCTGCCCCGTGAGGATTGCGGAATTGCTCTCATTTTTAGCCACGAAAAAAACACATGGTTATATGTTTTCTTTTGACAGGCGATTTACTTAAAACAAACTGTATTAATGAATACATTGTAAATTCTTTGGAGTATTTTGTTCTCAATTTTAAATTGCTTATTGAGATTTTTAAGGAAGCGTCATTTCAGGTGATAGCGCAATATTATTTCCCCTGCATAATTGCACGTATGTACTATCAAAATAAAAGTATGTTATCAACAAGGTTTTATCGATTTTTGTTTTCTCGGAGCATTTGAGTATATGTTAATTTGAATTTTAAAGTACTTGAAATTGTCAGTTTTCAATGTACACTTGTTGATATCATGCTAATATTTCACTGTAAACTGACAGGTCTTTTAACTATAAAACTGTTCTCAAATACGGGCAATGTGACGTTAACTTGTAACTCAATCACTCACATATAGCTAGAAGATTGCTAAAGGTACCGTTAAACAACAAACCAACGAAACACACTTGTCTCATTTGTCTCTTTGGATCAAGCAGTTTACATATAATTTAAACGACAAAACACTTTCCATACCCAACATAAATCTCTGCAAAAAGAAGAGTCGATTGTACGATTCCGACGATATCATGAGCACGTGTTTATGAATCACTATCAAATAGTAATGATACCAAGTGTTCGCAAAAAGGTGAGCGTATCCTGCCCAATCGGTGGCACCTGTCATAAAAACATGCAAAGGCAAGTCAATTGTTAAAGACGCGAACATATTGTACTAGTCAAAATAGGGAATTGCACTGAACATCATGGTTGTCACTGATGCGTCAAATTTGGTTGGTTGGTTTGTTGTTTAACGCCGCACTCAGCAATATTCCAGCTATATGACGGCGGTCTGTAAATAATCGAGTCTGGACCAGACAATCCAGTGATTAATATCATGAGCATCGATCCACGCATTTGGGATCGATGTCATGCATCTACCAAGTCAGCAGCCTGACCACCCGATCCCGTTAGTCGCATTTTACGACAAGCATAGTCACCTTTTACGGCAAGTATGGGTTGCTGAAGACCTATTCTACCCCGGAATCTTCACGGGTCTCGTCACTTCAAATTTGGAAATGTCCCCTACATGTCTACCATAAAACCTTTAAGCAATGGGGGCACGGGTGGCCTATTCGTCTAAGGCGCCGCGATTCGCTGTGCAGAGTTGCGTCCCTTGGGCACGCCAGAAACCTATGATTGTGGGTTCGAATCCCGGTTCGCCCCGATTATGTTTCTAGGTTTGTCAGCACCATACCCGTGCTCGTGGGTTTCACCGAAGTGGTAAACGTCTAAGACATGCATCACTTCGGGCTTTCCTCCCACATTAAGCTGACACGCCGCGATATAACTGGAATACTGTTAAAAGCGGCGTTAAACCCAACTCACTCACTCACTTTAAGCAATGTATAGGTTTCAATTCTGCCTTCTCTAATCAAAACATTTACACACATTCAATGCACCTGTTTCAATTTCTCTTCTTCAGACAGCAAGGCCAGGTCTGATGTTGCCGAACCATTGAGACTGGAAGTGTTGCCGCCTTGGGCCATACTGGTTAAATTGCCTTGAAAACGATCGAATTGTGTACAAGCATCAATATTGATATTTACGGTAAGGTGAAAAAACGTTCTACAAAGTACTTAAACAAGGAATAACGTTTCATAAAATTTTCCCGGTTCACGTAGATGCGAATAAACGAATATTTATAGTTTAGTCATTCATGCAGCATTATGAAAATGATTGAAATCGATATTTAGAATCTGAATTGTGTAACCTATAATTGTACGTCATTATTTCATAATGTCTTAACCGAAAATGGAAGGGAGTAATGCACTTTTCTGTAAATATTAGCTTCCGCGGTTATGCGGGCGTCAAATCAGCTGTTTCAATGTGGTTGTTGTGATTAGAAACCTCAGACTGACAGATCAGAATCGAATATTTTCTAAACTCATGGCATGCGTGGAAAGGTAATATGTAATGGGGTCGGTCGGGTAGCCTAGTGGTTGAAGCTATCGGTCGTCACGCCGAAGACCCGGGTTCGATTCCCCACATGGGTACAATGTATGAAGCCAATTTCTGGTGTCCCCCGCCGTGATATTGCTGGGATATCGCTAAAAGCGGCGTAAAACCATATAAGTAATGTTTTTAGAAAATATTCGGGTTCAAAATGATTTTTTCGAGTATCAAATACTCAATAACACCTGCAATTCCGTAACTCTTTCTTCACTCACTCACTCACTCACTCACCATCATGGCATTTCCACTCAGGGTTGTTCTGCAGGGCTAGAAGTGCCGGAAAGAAGGAGGCCGATGGCCCTTGATAGATCGGCAGTCTGGAAAATATGTCCAATGGGTCAGTCACGCTGTTAATATATATCTTGTTAACATGACTCCTACCCGTGAAGATCCGGGGTAGAATAGGTCTTCAGCAACCAATGCTTGCCGTAAAAGGCGACTATTCTTGTCGTAAAAGGCGACTAACGGGATCGGGTGGTCAGGCTCGCTGACTTGGTTGATGCATGTCATCGATCCCAATTGCGTGGATCGATGCTCATGATATTAAACACTGGATTGTCTGGTCCAGACTCGATTATTTACAGACCGCCGTCATATAGCTGGAATATTGCTGAGTGCGGCGTTAAACAACAAACAAACAAACCAACCTTAGAGAATTTCGTGTCTCTGGGCTGCGACAATGGGAAATAAAACGACAAAACCCTTTCCAAGACATGAGTTCCACAGAGTAGCGTAAAAAGATAACGGTCGTGTTTCCTCATCAAGGACACGAAGACGCCTAACACAGGCATTGATTGAAGACAGGCAATGTCACAGTTACCTTGGTCATAGTTTGTAATTACAATACATGGATAGAGCTTTTTGAGAAAAGTGCATTTTGTGATTTGACAATTTGTGTAACTATATATATGAACGAATGTCTAATTTTCAGAATGGACCATTATGTTTCCATATGGTACACTCAAAGTCAGTTATCGTCAGTTATTTTTTTCGATAAAGACAATGTTAGTTCTATTTCAGTGGGATCGAACCTGCAACTCTCGTATCTGTAGTCTGGTGAGTGAACCACTAGGCTAAAGAGGTGCTGATAAATCACAATGCTTTTAAGAATCTCATTTTTTCAAGCACATGTTCGCAAGCACGAGATATATTACGTCCGTTTCCTGAAGTTCATGGAAAGTGTAGGAATATAATTTTTTTGATAAATGTTGTTTCAGATTTGTTACGGTTTATAAGACATATATTCTCTCAGGTTTGGTTAAAAATATAAACACTAGGGGCCTGCCTTCGGGTTTGTCCATCTCCCCCGTGTTGACATTCTTAACCAAACTCTCGTGTTTGCCCTTTATCTTCTCACCTGATACCGACAACCGTTTGAAGTAGCGTGGTTAAGCCACTCATAAGCAGTGTTGAGGAAAGTAGCTTCGATCTGATTGGACTGTCATAAGCTGCGCACACAGCGTCTGAGATGATGAAGGCAGTGGCTACCGTGAAGGCAAGGTTCATCATGATGTGCTGCAAGGGGAAGGAAGTACCAACATCACTTGTTTACTTTGTGTTGTGTTTTGGTTTGTTTGTCAACATTTATGTCACGGCGGTCTCCAAATAGTAGTATGGGTCAGACAAACAGTGATCGATATTATGATCAACGTCCCTCTCTGTCGTGAACGACGACGCACAATCAGCCAAGTTACAGAGCCTGGTTGGTAAATAGCTGGGACATAGTAGGGACTTAACGAGTAATTGCCACTGGTGGCGCTACGATCGAGCCACAATCTGTAAATAATCGAGTCTTGATCAGACAATCCAGTTATTGACATCATGTTCATCGATCCACGCAGTTGGGATACGATGACATGCATCAACCAAGTCAGCGAGCCTGACCACCCGTTAGTCGCCCCTTACGACAAGCAATGGTTACTGAAGACCTATTCTACCCCGGATCTTCACGGGTCTCTCAAGTTTTACATAGTCCCTGCACAAATACATGCTCTGATATTTTTGTCACCTTATTTTATATCAAATGGAGCAGCTGTTTTGTAAAAACAAATAATCTTATTTCTTTCAGTGTAAAATACACGCATTTTAAGTCTCTGCCTATGTTAATAATTTCAGTAACTGTGCTGTTTGTTGTTTATCGTCGCACTCAGCAATATTCCAGCCATATGATGGCTGGCTGTAAATAATCGTGTCTGAACCAGACAATCCAGGGACGGATATCATGAGCATCGATCTACATAAATGAAATACGATGACATGCATCAACCAAATCATCGAGCCTGACCACTCGATCCCGTTAGTCGCCTCTTACGACAATCCAGTAACAGCAAGCATTGGTTGCTGAAGACCTGTTCTAACCCGGATCATCACGGGTCATCTGATTAATATGTAAATAACTTGATCCCATACCTGTAAGGCAGCACTGAACAGTACCACACACGGCGGGTTTTGAATCAGGGTATAGTGCAGTCTTTCATCCTCATTGTCAACCAGTTTCTCTTCTCCTCTGTCAAGATCCAGGTCGTGGCCATTGTTTACTCGTTTCTTGCCAGTCATGATGATCAACTAATTTTAGCCTTCTTCTGAAAATGCATGTGTTTCATGTAATATACGGCGTTTTATCAATGTCAGAATGATGAGATCTGATTGGTCCACGTGATATTGATACAATACTATGTATCCCGCCTTGAAGGGCAATAAATTTCTCAGCGGGAGAATATATCCTTTATACCCCGCCATAGTGAGTGAGTGAGTGAGTGAGTGAGTGAGTGAGTTGGGTTTAACGCCGCTTTTAACAGTATTCCAGTAATATCATGGCCTGTCAGCTTAATGTGGGAGGAAAGCCCGAAGTGATGCAGGTCCCATACGTTTACCACTTCAGTGAAACCCACGAGCACGGGTATGGTGCTGATAAACCTAGAAACATAATCGGGGTGAACCGGGATTCGAACCCACAATCATAGGTTTCTGGCGTGCCCAAGGGACGAAACTCTGCACAGCGAATCGCGGCGCCTTAGACGACTGGGCCACCCGTGCCCCCATACCCCGCCATAAGCAAGACAGACTGCACGTGGATTTCTCGTGATCCTGCTACAACTTATAGTGTACTGTATAAGTTCTGTTATATCCCTCTGCCTGACAGGTGGAATAGTTGAGATGTTGAACAATATAACGCACTCGTACATAGTTCCATGACATGACAATACTTGGTGACATTGCAATCAGTTCACATGAAAATCCTAATGGTATTATTTAAGTGACATTATACCTTTGCCATGGCTTCATTGCAACAACACTACGATGATAGAAGTCATCTACATATGACTAATACATGACTCATTGCCATTTTAACATGACAGTGACACAGGTTTATTTTAAACAAGGTTTCACTGCGGTACAGGTGATAGTAAAAGGCAGTCATACATGGTTACAATTGACATGTTGGACTACATTTGCATGAATTGCATATCGTCATGTATCCAGTTTTCGTTTATTACAAACAACCAAACATATATTATTTTTAAATTGTGCATCATATTCCCCGCGACGTGTATCTCATTGGTGAAACAAACCATCAGGGGTTAAGTGCCGATAGTCCAAGGGTCAAAATCGGGTATCAAACCCCGACCAGCGGATACTGGCATAGCAAAGGGACGTAACTGTAGATGTGCCCAAGAATACTCGACGACCAGTGTCCCCTAACAAGAGGGTAACTCGTACAACTCTTCGAAATGTTTCATCATTATTATAGTGGTTTAAATATCGTGACATTTGCTGTGAAGAGTGTGGCATTGAGAGCATAGAAACACATGGATGTAAGTAAGAAAACTCTCTCCAACAATATAGTAAGTAAACACCTCTCTCTAATGATAAAGCACGTAACCAAATCTTTCTAATCATATTAAGAAACAACTCTCTCAAATGAAAAAGTAAGTAACCAACTCTCTCAAATGATAAAGTAAGTCACAAACTCTCTCAAATGATAAAGTAAGTCACCAACTCTCTCTCTCTAATAATAAAGTAAATCACCAAATCGCTGTAATGATAAAGTAAGTCACCAACTCTCTCTAATGATAAAGTAATTCACCAACTCGCTCTAATGATAAAGTAAGTCACCAACTCTCTCTCTCTAATAATAAAGTAAATCACCAACTCGCTGTAATAATAAAGTAAGTCACCAACTCTCTCTAGTGATAAAGTAAATCACCAACTCGCTGTAATGATAAAGTAAGTCACCAACTCTCTCTATTGATAAAGATAGTCACCAACTCTCTCTCATGATAGAGTAAATAACCAACTCTCTCTAATGATGAAGTAAATCACCAACTCTCTCTAATGATAAAGTAAATAACCAACTCTCTCTAATGATGAAGTAAGTCACCAACTCCCTCTAATGATAGAGTAAGTCACCAACTCCCTCTAATAATAAAGTAAGTCACCAACTCTCTCTAATGATAAAGTAAATCACCAACTCGCTCTAATGATAAAGTAAATCACCAACTCGCTCTAATGATGAAGTCACCAACTCTCTCTAATGATGAAGTAAGTCACCAACTCTCTCTATTGATAAAGATAGTCACCAACTCTCTCTGATGATAAAGTAAGTCACCAACTCTCTCTATTGATAAAGTAAGTCACCAACTCTCTCTATTGATAAAGATAGTCACCAACTCTCTCTGATGATAAAGTAAGTCACCAACTCTCTCTATTGATAAAGTAAGTCACCAACTCTCTCTATTGATAAAGATAGTCACCAACTCTCTCTATTGATAAAGTAAGTCACCAACTCTCTCTATTGAAAAAGTAAGTCACCAACTCTCTCTTTTGATAAAGATAGTCACCAACTCTCTCTGATGATAAAGTAAGTCACCAACTCTCGTTATTGATAAAGTAAGTCACCAACTCTCTGTGATGATAAAGTAGGTCACCAACTCTCTCTGATGATAAAGTACGTCATCAACTCTCTCTCTATTGATGACGTAAGTCACCAACTCTCTCTGATGATAAAGTAGGTCACCAACTCTCTCTGATGATAAAGTAAGTCACCAACTCCCTCAAATGATAGAGTAAATAACCAACTCTCTCTAATGAAAAAGTAAGTCACAAACTCTCTCTAATGATAAAGTAAATAACCAACTCTCTCTAATGAAAAAGTAAGTCACCAACTCTCTCTAATGATAAAGATAGTCACCAACTCTCTCTGATGGTAAAGTAAGTCACCAACTCTCTCTAATGATAAAGTAAGTCACCAACTCTCTCTAATGATAAAGTAAGTCACCAACTCTCTCTAATGATAAAGTAAGTCACCAACTCTCTCTGATGATAAAGTAGGTCACCAACTCTCTCTGATGATAAAGTAAGTCATCAACTCTCTCTAATGATAAAGTAGGTCACCAACTCTCTCTGATGATAAAGTAGGTCACCAACTCTCCCTGATGATAAAGTAAATCACCAACTCTCTCTGATGATAAAGTGAGTCATCAACTCTCTCTAATGATAAAGTAGGTCACCAACTCTCTCTGATGATAAAGTAGGTCACCAACTCTCTCTGATGATAAAGTAAACAACCAACTCTCTCTAATGATGAAATGAATAACCAACTCCCTCTAATGATAGAGTAAATAACCAAGCCCAGCCGCTAACGCCGCCGCCGCAAGCCCATCCGCTACCGCCGCCGCCGCCGCCAATCCACCCGCCATTACAAGCCTTGGGTGGACTTGCGGCGGCGGCGCTAGCGGGTGGGCTTGTAATGGCGGGTCGATTGGCGGCGGCGGTAGCGGATGGGCTTGCGGCGGCGGCGGTAGCGGATGGGCTTGTAATGGTCGGTGGACTTGCGGCGGCGGGTGGGCTTGTAACGGCGGCGGTATGCTATGTTTATTTCTCCTGTGTCGTAACATGACATCTCTCCTTGAAAACATTTTTTCACAGTCCGGACAGGTGGCAACCCCCATGGTGATCCAATACGGTGTGCGATTAGAGGGTATGAAGCTTTCTTTTATACCCTTGACTCTGTTGACGCTTCAAGGCAGCAAGTGCCCGTTCCACCACAGCCTTCACCTCCGACACATGTTGTATTTTCACGGGTTAGGGTGTTGTCTTCGATCCCTGTTTGGTTGTCATCGTATTCATTTTAGGTGTTACCTGTCTCTTCTTTGTCTTCAGCGTCGACTTCTTGGCTGCTTGTGGTTTCTTTCTCTGTTGTGATTTTCTCAACGTAGTCTTCCTAAATATATCTCTAGGGTCAAGTCTAATCTCTGATGCTTTCTTCATGTGTGAGTATGTTAAAAAAGGGATCATATTAGTATATAGTCTTCGTCATACTACACCCGTGAAGGTCCGGGTTATAGAATCGACCTTCAGTAACCCATGCTTATCGGCGACTGACGGGGATCGGTTGGTCAGTCTCGCCGACTCGGATGACACGTGCCATCGGTTCCTAGTTGCACAGATCGCTGCTCATGCTGTTGATCACTGGATTGTCTGGTCCAAGCTCGTTTATTGACAGACCACCGTCCTAGAGCTGGAATAATGCCGAGTGTGGCGTAAAACTAAATTCACTCACTCACTGATACCAATACATCTAAAAACTAATGTCATTTAAATGGTGAGTTTAAACGCGTATTTTACCCTTACAAGGACGAGTGCATTCCACACACCCTTCCTGTTATCAAATGTGTCACTGTTTACAGTTCGGGCGAACATAACCCTATAGACATGTGTGCGGGCGAGTTCATTCATCAGAAATCTGTCATTTACGATGTCTTTATAAATATGAACTGCTAACTACGCTCATAGCCATGTTGCGTGTCGTGGTTAGAACCGTAATTGATCTATTGATAGGTGTCATACATTCGTGTTCGGATATAGGTACAACATCTACACGCACATACTTTCCTACATCATTCAAATGTATTAAATACCGGATACGTTTAATAGACACCAACGTAAGAAAGGTTTAATGAGGGGAATACCCATATATATCCTCTCTGAAATAACTCCCTTTTCAAATAACAAATGTACAACACATCTTCCCTAACATATCAAAAATACGGGACACTGGTCACACAATTTATGAATGGGAAGCTTCAGGCGAGGCTGGTATGTTGACATTAATTGTAAGGCCGGGGTATGTTGACATTGTTATGGGCGGTCGGTGGCTTAGTCTCTCTGCTATACATTAGCTATGAATAAACCTGCTTCGACATATATTTCCAATAAAACATTTTCCTCGTGAAACATTTTTCCATGATAAACTCTGTTCTCTCTTCGAATTAAGGGTGAGTATTGTAAACATGAAAATGTCCTATAGATTGCTTCCATCACTTTCCCAACAAACCTAGCTTCGTGTCGTCACACTGCTACATGTACTTATCAGTTTTCTATCTATTTTCAAAATAGCACGTTCTGAAGTAAAACTGTGCACATCATGTTACACGGTTAAGACTCAAACCGTAGGGGTTATTTGTCATCGCGTTAAATGGAAAAGCTAGCATTGAAACAGCAAGTCGGGACATAGGGCTGAATAATTCTTTACAAATGGTTCACAATAGTACGCAGCGCGGGTGATTCGAAATCCGGCTGC